TTACTAAACTGAAGATTTCTTATTTTATGGTGGTGCACTTCTTCCCTTCTGAAGTACGAAGTTGATATCTTATAAAGCAATTAGTTGTGCACTAATTAATTGCAGCTTAAGGAATCCTTTCCGGTGTATTAATCCTGTCTTAAAAGCTCACACAGATGGAAGCATTATTAATGTTAATTCAACATTCATCAGACTCTTAATGTTTCTTTTTAGAAGAGGTCATTAGTACAGAATATTATTTATCTCACGATATAATTGGACAGAGAAAAAATTAATTTTGTCTCATTGTTGAAAACTTTACAGAAAGAAACAAGGAGAAACAAACCATTTTATGCTCCAGCTTATCTTCTAAAACTTCGTAGTGATCAAGTAGTCATTCACACAAGCAGGTTTATGAATTGATACTATAGATGGCATGTTGTTAAGCAACTCCTGCTTGACAATTATCTGTATTCCCTATCTCGTTTCTCTTCAATAGGAAAGTGTAGTAAAAGAATTCTATGTTCCTTTCTGATGAAAGTACATTAGAATATGTATATATATACTAAATAAAGTACATTAGAAAATAACAGAACAGAGCTTAGTATTTTCTGCTACATATTCATATACTGTTAGGAAAATAATACTTATTTCTAGCCCCACACTGTAGAATCTGGTTCCTTTCACCAAAATATAAGTACATAATTAGGAAAGGATGATCATGCTCATTCCTTCAAGTTGCAATAATTGCAGAATTGCAGAAATTAATCCTAGAAAGATTAGAGTGTTTTGTTTTTGGCTTTTGTCATAGAACCATAGAATGGCTTGGGTTGGAAAGGACCTTAAAGCTCATCCAGTTCCAACTCCCAGCCATGGGCAGGGTTGCCACCCACCAGCTCAGGCTGTCCAGGGCCCCATCAAACCTGGCCTTGAACGCCTCCACAGGAAGGGGGCATTCGTAGTTTCTCTGGACAGCCTGCCATTGCCTCACTATATTGTGAGTGAAAAATTTCCTCCTAATATCTAAACTTCCTTCTAGTTTAAAATCATTCCTATTTGCCCTATCAGCTTCTGCCGAGGCAAAAACTCAATCTTCACCTCGTTTATAAGCACGCTTTCTAAGGACCAGAAGGCTGCATCGAGATTCCCCTGGAGCCTTTTCTTCTCCAAGCCAAACAAGCCCAGCACCTTCAGCCGTTCTTCATAAGAGAGGTGCTCTAGCCCTCTGATCATCTTCATGGTCCTACTCTGGATCTGCTGCAACAGCTCCACATCCTTCCTGTACTGGGAGACCCAGACCTGGACACAGTACTCCAGCTGAGGCCTCACGGGGGCAGAGTAGAGGGGCAAAATTACCTCCCTCACTCTGCTGGCCACCCCTCTTTTGATGCAGCCTAGGATGTAGTTGGCCTTCCAGGCTTAAAGTGCTCACTGCTGGCTCAAGTCCAGCTTTTCATGCACCAGGACCCCCAAGATCTTCTCCCAGTCTGCCTGGGATCGCCTGAGCTCAGGTGCAATGCCTTGCACTTGGCCGTGCTGAATCTCATTAGATTCTCATGGGCCCACTTTTCAAGCCTGTCCAGGACCCTCTGGATGACACCTCTACCTTCTCTTGGGTCAACTGCACAGCTCATATTGGTATCATCAGATCACTTGCTGAGGGTAAACTTTTTCTGTTTTGCCTTTAATCCCCATTCTAATTACAGCAGAATAGACTGTAAACAAACAAACAAACAAAAACAACCTAAAAACAAGCCAACAAACGCTTATTTATTTCCATGTCTTGTATCTGTTGGTAGAAAAAGCAGCCAAGAGACCTAAAAATTAAATAAACTACAATTAACAACGTACTTAGAAAGGCTTTTCTGTGCCTGCGTTTATTAACTGAATACAGTATGCTTAAAGCAGCGTAAATATACATATACAGATACACCTCCAAGTTTGATCCTATTTCTGTACTAGAAATGAAAGAACAGCAGAAGAAGAATGCTTCCAGAATGTAGAGATTATTGTATTAGGTGTTCAAATTATTGATGTTTTTGTGAAGATTAAGTGAAGTATACTCCCCCCCTGGAAAGTAGAATTAACTTCAGACTGACACTGGAAAAGCACAGACCACACAGAGGAGCATGCTTGAGTGAGAGATCAAGGCCTTTGGTATGCTTTCATGGGTAACTGAGAACTGATTTTGTTTCTGAAGTAGTGCTGTCTGGCACACAAATAGATCATATTGCAAGACAGAAAAAGATTCCAAGAGAAGACACTTAAGTCACTTACGTGTTAGTATCCATTATACTGAAATACAAGCAGATGGAATCAGAATTTTGGGAAATTAATTTTAAAATAGTCCAAGTGATGTTCAGCTAGGAACAAATTCTACTTTTGTTTCTATCTCTCCCCATGTATTTTTATAAACTACATATTAGAAAGCTAAAGTTTGTAAATTTAAAAAAATTGGTATGATTTATTAGAAATTCAGACTTCAGGCCTTTTTTTTTTTGCTTTAATACTTTGAAATCCTAGAGAAATAACATTTTGCCAACCTTTATTTTTTTTCCAGTCAGTAATTCCAATTTAACTCAGAAGTAAACTGTGAAAAACACCCTGCTTGTCCTCTAAAATTTAATTCTCTTGTTCAATTCAATGAAGAATTCTCCTACTCTGGAAACACCAGGGAAAATCAGAATTCCTGAAACAGAGAAATGAAGTGTAGCCTTCAATAGCAAGGATCACAGAATCTATAAACACTGGAAAGGATCACTAAAGTAATCTATTTCAACCATCAATCCATCATCTAGAAGTTGAGAACTCAGGTCCAAGCTCTACGTTAGGGATCTACTTCCTCTTTTTATTCTAATGAATCACAGAATAGTAGTTTCTGTCACAGATACATGAGAAAGGAATCTCTCAGGCCACAGTATTGCTTTTCCTCATTGAACAATGATTATTAGGAAAAGCAATAAGAAATGAGCATAAGAAAAAATGAAAGGCAATCATATAACAAAAGATAGAAGGGAAGAAGGAGGAAATATTTAGGCACTGCATTAGCCATAAGGATCCTGGTGTTGACATGCAAACTGGACTACTGGTAGTTTTGGGCAGGTTGCAGAGAATGCAAATTTTGTAGACCTGTTGTAAAAGGTTTGAAGCACTGGTTGTTTTTGATGTAATAACATCTTCTAGGTGAGACATGCCTTTTAATTCTTCCTCTGGAAAATGGGAATACGTAGCTGCTTCAGTGCAGTGTCTTGTCTTAAATGTCTGTATCTCACTGTAAGAAAGTGTTTCTCAACAGGAAAAGTGTTAATGCAGTCATGGAAAGCCCTCAAGTTCCCTTGAGAGAACTACAGTAGCAGAAAAGAAAGCAGGGAAAATTGAATATTTAATTTAAAAGGAAGGGTAAATGACCACTGGAAGGATCATATGAAGAAAAGCTACCAATCTGCCAGAGAGGTACAGCTTATTTGTTCTGTTTTGTTCTTTTAAGAAGAGTTCCAAGCAGGAAGAAAAGCTGCACCTTAGCCGATGTGACTCATGATTTTGCACCACATGGGATTATTTATCTTACTTCATCGTTGTAAGAACATCTGCGGATTGGAATAAAACAAAACTAAAAGATCTCCTGCAACACCAGCGTAATTAGGGAAAAAAACCAGAAGGGACACTTCCTAAGGTGAGCTGGAGCCCAGTGAGCCAACGAGCAATCCCTTCTATTTTCAGCAGGACCAATACATTGCCCTTGCCTACAACATGGGAATACATACTCCTTTACATCAGCTTTCCTTTAAGAAGTAAATAAAAACTTAAGCCCTAATGGAATCCAGCTACATCAAAAACAAATGGGAATATTATGGACATGCTTGAATCTCACTCTGACGGTACATCTAACCTCTCCCATTGACTGCTCTGCTTCTGCAACACTTTTTTGTGCGCCATTACTGGAATTCATTAAGTACATTCATTAAGTCTAAAAGAACGTGAAACATGCCTCTAGGAAATGTGAAGAATTGAGATTCACCATTTTTAGTTTCACCATTTTGCTTGGCTAGTATGTCTGCTGTCAGGGAAAGGTTTCACAGGCCATTTGCAGCAATGCTGATCATTCTGGCCATCAGACCACAACAATTAGTCTATTGTCATCAGAAAGCTTTGTGATGGAAAATTCATATGAGCTACGTTAATTGATGAATCACTAGATAAGATTTATCTATGGGTTCCTTTTTGTGTTTGTAACAGGACTTCAGCAAGAGGCAGTTTTAGCACAAGAGGAGCTCAGTGAAACAGAACCACCTGGTATAGGTACTTCAGGAGCTGTTCAGGGTTTTCTCTGCAGTTGTCCATGGGGTGTCCAGCTCCCAGTTTCTGCTCATCCTTAGCTACTACACCATTTGCTTTCTCAGGAAGGAGAGCAAGGATATGAGTAAAGATAAGTGGCTTTAATAGGATATGCAAGAAAACACACAGCCAATCTTTGAAATCTGTTGCACAAAGAGAAATTCCCAGTGTAGTTCTATCCAAATTCATTTTCTGAATTTCATTCATAAACTCTAACATTTAGCAAAAACTTACTGAAAATTAGAAAAAATTCAAAGCTATTCATTAAAATGAGGTTTTTTTTTCAATGTCAATTTCTGATTTTTACTGCATTTTACAGGCAAACCAGTATCTCAATCTTTGATTTGCTGTGAAACAGCATCTTTGTTAAAATTTACAGGTTTTTTATTATTTAGCAGCTGGTTTGGATATTAATTGTTTAGCTCTTCCAGCTATACTTCTTGTAGCGTGGAAAAAAAATACAGAAACTTGAGTTAAAGGAGGGAAAAAAAAATAAATCAACAAGCCACAAAAAATACAGCATGATTTTTAGATGACATGTATTGTAAAACAATTTTCTTTCAGTTACAGGAATGGACTGCCATTATTCTGTCTGGGGAGTTTTGGCCTTTCTAAGTTTGGCTCTCATTTTTTCATTGATACTGAATATTTCACACTATATGAAAAAGAAACAAGAAGGTAAGCAAGACTGTCTCTGTAAGGGATGGAATTTAAGAGCTTAAAAATATCTGCAGAGAATGCTATTGATTTTGACAGGTGTCAAACCAACAAACTACTTCTCTGAATCTTACAGTTATCTTTTGACTAGAATGATTCCAGTTGTGAGGATGAAACTGTTCAATTATTTAGGAGAGTCAGATAACATTAGAGGATGATCACTAGCTGCCTAATCCGCTACCAAAAGCAGTTACCCAAATTCATCCTCTGAAGATAAACCAACAGCATGTGTATATGGTGAAGAATTTATTTCTGGCTAATGTTTTATTTTTAAAAGTGTATTTTTAAGATGAATAACTCCCCTTTTGTAGAACATTTTTTGATGCAACTGATTTAACATATGTACTTTAATTTAAAAGTGATTTTGAGTAATACAAAATACATTTAAGAAAATTGTATCCTCTTCAAATTCCTAAAAGCTTATTTGAATTTCAGATATAAAAATTCTGTACTCACTTTATTTGGAACAAAAAATTGCTTTTCATCATGGGATTCTAGTGCTTAATCCAATGTGTCAATAATAATAGTAATGTGTTTAGTCTATGGAACTAATTTGTTTTATTTGTTAGAGGGTGACTACAGTCATGCTCTGTTTTTGTTAAAATTAACTAAGATTTTTCACATCACTGCCTAAGGCAGTACTACCAATCAGCTGTACAATTCTCACCATTCCCATTGAGGAAAAGTAACCTTACACTGGGAAATCTGCTCCTTGTGCTGCATGCATATGGATGGGCAGGCAAACACCGGTAGATTGAACCACTTGAAACATATTCACATGCATAGATAATTTAGGTAAGCAGGAGGCTTACACCTATAAGCAGAATTCACGATGAATAGCTGACAGGCTATTAAAAGAGAGCCTGGAGTGTTCTGGGAGAGGGAGGAGGGAGTTGCCTTTTTGTTTTTTGTCTTTTAGTGTTACTAGGCAGACATTTGTGTGATGAAAAATCACAGCCATTTACAAAAATAACCTTGAGCAAGGTTGCAGTCAGATTGGCTGATGCTACAGTATTCATGGTATCAGAGTTTTACCATGGCAGATTCTGGAGTTCTGGAGAACAAGATAGAAAGTCATGCATTCCTGAGTTATTAATCAAGCTCTAGCAATAAATCTTTCTGCCTCAGTTTCTTCATCTGCAGATCTCTCTCTTTCAGAGACAGGAGCAACTCTGAACTGCCAGTAAAACAAATGAACCTTTCATTTGCTAATATAAACACATGATGTGCCTCCTTAGGCAGAGGGGGAAAAAAAAAAGAAGAGTTAGAAGCAGAAAGAGGAGGGAACGAGAAATTAATCCCGTGTGTTACAGTACACTTCTGAGAGAAGGGACTGTATTTGATGCTTAACAAAATAGAGATTGAAGACCTTCTTGTAAACTAACACAGAGTCTGTAGCATAGCACAGAAACATAACACAAGCTTTTTAAATTATTATTCAAAAGTAATTGAGTGAAACGGGACAACTGAAAGTGCTCAGATGCCACAGCTTTCAATTTCACTCTCTACAGTGAAGTCAAAAGCATGTCAATTAAGACAATTATCTGAATTGTTCTTAAGGAGCACATTTCATTATCTTTTCACTTTTTAATTTTTTTTTTTCCAGCTAAAACGTATAAAGACAATGAAGACAACACTGAAAGGTAAGCTGTATAAGTAATCCTTTTCTGAGAAGAGTAAAATAAGCAATAAATGGTGATAGATGTCTTTGAATTTTCTTCTGTGCCACCCCTCCAATATCATACGTGGCCTGCCTGGAGATACTGGAGAGCAGAATGATTGTTTAAAAAAAGAAAAAAAAAAAAAAAGAAAAAAAAAAAGAAAAGTGAGGGGAAAAATTTTCATGTAAGAGATGCCCTCCAGACATTTCATCAAGAATAAAAAACTGCATGCTGATATGGTAACCTTCAATACTGAAGGAAGCATGATATATTGTGTTAAGGCGCTATTTACTACTCGGAATCAATGAATCCATAGTGAAGAGAACGCTCAGGAAACAATGAGGAATTATGATCTGTTATTTCATTCTTGTGGAACAATAGTTTGTATTTGCATTTCTTTTACACATTACATTCCAAAGCAATAAAGCAGTTTGCATTGATTCCAGATGCTGGACAGCTCCCCATCTGTCACCAAGTTTGTTGAATTTACTCCATATTAAAGTTACTGTGGAAAACAGAGATGGAAGGAATTTCATCTCAACTCCAATATATCAGGCCCTTGAATCAAAACCACAAAAGCTGCTGCCCCCCCTCCAAAATCAATCCTCATTAACATACTCCCTGGAAACTGGAAGTCCTTCTGCTTTGTTTGTTATTGCCTGCTCAGCTGAGAAATACCACTGAAATGAAGTAGCATATTTCATTACTTTATCCTTGACAAGGCACAGGATAGGGATGCAGCAGGATCAGACAATGAACCTCTCAACAATCCTCATTTTTACAAACATGTTTGAAAACATTTTCAAACAACACCAGGTAGCAAAACACAGAATGCCATTAAGAACTCAAAGTGAAATTTTGCTTTGATCTTGTTTAGGTGCATCAGCATAAGAATTTCAGTTCAATTTCAATCCAGTTTTAGTTTAGAATATGGGAAGTGTCCTTTCTTCTCCTTCTGTGAAGTTGGTGTTACCATCTCCTTGGTTTTTAGGTCACATACAGTCTTCTGCTATGTGTGTGTAAAATGGTAAGGTAAGAGTAGAATACGGGGTCCTAAATAAAGTTTATGAAACAATTTAAAATTATCTTTCTATCCCTTTTCTAGCTATAATGACTGCTACAGAGGAGGTGACCCAGTTTATGGCAATCTCAGTCAAGATATTTTAGGTAAGTTTCATTTTAAGAACACTTGTCTCTTCAGTGTCTATAAGAAATGCAGAATTAAAAGCAGACTGGCCAACACATTCTGTGTTTCTCAGCAGCCTTGAGAATCTTTCCCTTTAAAAAAAAATGCTTTACTCACACCTACTTATTGCTTACATCGAATTACATACTGCACTATTTGTAAGATGAGGTCATGTATAGAATTTGACTTTTTTTTTAAAAACTACCCAAACAGTACTGTTCAGTCAAATACTTTGAAACCAACAGCTTTACTATATGTAAAGCTGCACCCATTTAAATAACACACTTAGCACACACACTTCCAAGCAATCTAAGACACAAATTGCCTTCTGTCCAAAGTCATTGCCCCCAGACAAGCTAGCAAATAGTAGCACATACCTGCTCTCAGTGCTGTCCACTCACAAATGAAAGATGTTAACAGAAATGCTGAAGCACAGCCCACGGTGGCTGGAGGGTGGGCAGACTGCTTCACTGGGCCAAAGTGAAGAATCATCATCCATACCATATTAGAGACAATAAAATCATAACTGCAGCTGGATATGGACCGGTGGATGGTATAACACTCAAAGCCTACTAGTCTCTGCATAGCTCTGAAGCTGAAAAGTTGTTTGTACTCACAAATATATAGGTATGTCAAGTTACTCTTAATCGAAGATGTTCTAACAGCTCCAAATAACGTCCAGTTAGGGAATGAGAAACTTCCCATTCAACCAACATGGACAGAATATTTTTTGCTTCAGAGTGTCTGCATCAGAATTTCTTAGCTGATTGCCTCTCTATAAGCAGAGGAAGACAGAAGCAATATCTGTGTCACTACCAAACAAGTGAAACTTCTAATGTAGTAAACTGGGGGGGGTGAGGAGGTACTTCTGTAACAGAGGATTTGTTAATTGGATCTTTTAATTCTGAGTAGTGTGTCTTAGTAACAGAAATACTTTTCTGCTTTGGTACATTACAGAGGAATGTTGTTACGAGCAGATGAAATCCCAGCCTCAAAGGCCAGTTAATGAACTACAACAGGTATCTTCACTTTTAATTTTGGATTTCTGAATCACAGTGATGTGGTCTGTCACAGAGTTCTTGCATTTATTCCATGACAATAAGTATCAAAAATATTCCTGCTGCACATCACAAAAATTCTTCATACTTCAGTGTCTCAGTTTATCAGAGAATTTAAGCACATTTGAATTTTTGTTCAATCTGAGTCATTAGTAAGGGAGGAGAAAGATTACAAACAGATCATTTCCATCTATGTGGCATGATAATGCTCAGTCACAAGCATGCAAATCAGGCTCAATTAGACATGCATCACATGATAATCACAAATTTGACTGATTCTCTCCTGCCCAGTATGAAAATCTATATTCCTTAACGTGTTAAAGACAACCAATTTTCTATTGATTTGTATTTTGTTGTTACTTGAAAATCTAAAAGCATACAAGTTTCAATTGAAATCTGTCTATAATTGAAGCATTCCCCAAATCAATTTTGGAATTGCTTTCTAGGTGTTTCATAAGGAATAATTCCCAGTCTCTCCCTTTTTATTTAAAGATTTGTTTTCATAAACTCCACAGAAAATTCCAGTGCCAATAGTGCTCAACAATTTGGTTTGAAAAACACAGAGAAGTGGAAACAAAACATGTATTTTACACTAGAAATCAGATAACATATGCAGAAAAGTCACCTGTTACTACTTTTTTCTGCACAAAGTCTATGAAAAGTATTGTTGCTAATAATGGGATTCCAATAAATCAATTTGAGTGAAGAAAAACAGATCAAACAATGCCCTGCATCTCAAAGAACCTGGAACGATTACATAAACTGCTCTTATTTCCCACAGAGAATCTTTGAAATGATATCTGGAAGAGGGCTTCCTCTCTGCCACAGTTTTAAGGGTATGAGCCTTACACAATTGTAAGGATATAACATAACTTAATTAGCATTAAGTTACATCAGTCTGTTTTCTGTGCTATTGTAACTTAATCATTTGTACTTCTAATAATGTAATTTACAGCTAGCTCAGGTAAACCTCAGCCCCTACTATGATTACCACGTAGACATGTTCAAAGCATCAGACATAATTTTAAAGCAGACACAACTACTGAATGTTAATTATAAAGTAAATTTCCTTCCAGGTGGAATCAGTTGATCAGATGTGTTACGCCTCACTTGATCACAGCACCAAGGGAAAACTCAGAAAACCAAGGAGGAAGAAAGACCCTCCATTAGAGGATGAAGAAGAAAGATCATCTAAATCCACCATTACAGCTTCCAAAGCTTGCATTTACCTTAACAGTGAGCAACTGGCTGCTGAAAATACAGCAAACATAGAAGCCATTCATGACGATCCCATAAGATTAATGGGTTTGATTCACAGGACAAATGGAGAGAACATTTGAAGTGGCTTCATGAACCAAGTATGAAATCAAAGTGAGATATGCTTTATTAATTCTGGAGGAAGAGTGAATGATTAGAGACAGTACCCTGCCAAACTTAAATTACAAACAATGGTGTGAAGCAGCTAAATAAAACATTCCAAATCATTTTCAAAACACATCTATGGATTAAGCAAAAAATAACTGTAGGCTCATGCTGCCCTTTTAAAGGGACTTTCCTTCTGAATACACTGCGAAAGGGAGCTGTGAACAGAGAGATACCAGCTTCTACATGGTAAGGTAAAAATTAATACTTTGTTTAAAAATAACCATCGAACTTCATACAGTCCTAGAAGATCCACTGAGTTGCCTGTAGAACTCTCACAGAGTATGACTACTCTTCTCCATAGGTTTTAACAGTACTTTTGAAAAGAAATGGCGTTTCACATATGCACACTTAAGGGTTCAGACGCTTTCCCAATTAAAAACAGGTCCGCATTCAAGATTGTGTATTTTCCCATGGCGAACAGTCTACAGCACAGTGTCCAACCTTTCAGCTTGCCTGGGCTGCACTAAGTGAAAAGAAACTGTCTTGGGCCAATGTTTTGGTTGCTGCTGAATGATGGGGTGCGCTAAGGACCAGCTTGGATTGCTTGGTTGGGAAGAGCCACTGCCATGATGGGAAGGGGTGGGGGTGAGGCTAATTACTAGTGGTCTTGGGCTTCATGCAGCCTGTTACATATCCTCACTTTCCTTTTGTGAGCAATATCGGCGTACATCTCGAATCTTCATTCCTCTACTAACGTAACACTTTTTTTGTATAACACCACTTTTTTTGTACTCAAGAATAAGTAAGGATACTGGCAAATGATTTTTAACCATCAGCCTTTGCCAGAGAATTTTTCTAATTTTCTATTTTAATTCCTAGTGCCTTTGTCAATAAACTTCTTCACAAAAGTAGAAAGAACTACTTGTTTCCCCATGTAATTTACATTCTATGTGCACATTCATCTTTACACTTTCAAATCATCAGAAGGTAAGCTTTTATAGAATGGGGATTTATTTTTATGTGACACGTTCTGGGAGTCAGTAAGCAGCAGAAGGAAACAGTAACACATGTTGATGTGCTATGCCTACTCTCTAGGTTTTGGACAGTTCTGTCTTTAAAACCAAACCAAAACAAAAAACAAAAAAAATCCCAACAGCAAGTAAATAAATACACCCATGCAGAGCATTGTGCCAAAGAGCTTGAAATGCTAAAGGGCATTCAGAGTGCCAGTGTCTAAGGTTCTGACGGAGACAGTAGCTCTAAACCAGTTACAAGAACCAAACCACCTACAGGACAAAGAGCTAGTCCATAGATGCAACATATCTGTGAAGGGGACAAAAAAAAAAAAAAAAAAAAGAGTTAAAGAAGTCTGGCCCATGTTTATTTTAGTTAACAAACCTCTTTGAACAAGCTATGTCTTAACTCCTCTTCTAGATCAAAAGGAAAAAGCAAACCCCTGCAGACCACGCTGCTCAGTAGTTCTATTAGCTGTCTTGAGCTGAAATCAAATCAATACACGTAGGTCAATCCAAAATAATGCTTCCTATTTATTTCCATGGAAACTACAACAGACACAAAGAGCACAACAATGCTACTTGATAGAGCAAATTCCCAGCTACAAAAGTTTTTTGGTACAGCAACCACCATCAGCCATGAATTTTCACCAGCAACAAACAAGAGCCTCCATGTTGCCCTCACAAAAATCTGCATTAGTAGAGGTGATCAACTGCTGCAACACACCACCCACAGCCTCATTGTGTTCACATCCGCTGTTTGGTTCCAGAAACATTCAGTAAGAGTTGATGAAAGTCAACGGGAGCAATGTTTTTCACATGGAGGAATTCAATTACATGCCTTTACTTCATAAGCACTTCCATGTCACATGCCATTTTGTCATATGGCCCCTCTGCTGCCACCTGTCGGGTGACAACAAAATATAAGAGAATATTGGCAGGATACCTGTACTGCCATCAACATCTGCCTCTAACATAATAAAATAGGAAGTACTACTTTCAGAGCTACCCTCATAATGATAACAAAATAAGAAAAGGAGACGTTAGGTATAGTCTCAGTAACAGAACCTGTATTTATAGCATTGTATATATTTTGAAGCAGAGGGAAGCAATGTAAAACTTTCTCGCAGAAAGCTCAGCACTTAAAAGCATGTTGGAGAAGCATATTATATAGTGGCAGAAGCAGAAGACTTTGAAGGGAAGAACAGAGACAAAAGCAGAGTATTAAGTAGCACCACTGAATTTTCACAGGTCTATGCCAGACATCCTCCAGTAATCGCAACAGACTCTTGGTGATATCATACTTTCTAGAATACAGATAAATTGGATGTTGGTGGATCAAACTCCAAAATAATTACGTAACTCCTATTTGCCACTGCTGACACACACAAAAAATAATGGTACTGGGAAAAGCTTATCTTCCAACACCTAAAGTTTTTCAAGAACTACGTTATGATTCCAAGTAATTTCCATAGGTGAATGAACTATTTCTGTTCTTTAAATAAATTTGCTTTCATACCTGGATAAACTTGTATTCTGTTGCTGTTCAAAAGACATATCCAGATACATCCAAAAAGCTAATTACAGTTTACATTTAGAACAGATAACATGGAATTTCATACTCTCTAAGTACTTTCCCAAGAAATAAAGGGAAATAATTACCTTAACAAATCCAAGAAGAATGTAGTTCATAAAGTATGTTTCCTAATGTTCATCTATACTCAGAGCCAGAATAAAAGTGACCTACTAAAACATTTCTAAAAGACAATCCTAAATTGTTGAAGAAAACACCACACTCGAATGATTTAAGATACATTGCGTGCTCATGCACATTGCGAAAATCACCCACTGAAGACTGTCTTTTTATGCTAGCGTAGGCCTTACTGAAGCTGTTTCCTTATTCCATTCAACAGCACTTAAAATCACCAAAGTCTTAATTATAAGTGCTGCAACAGTGTAAAAGCAGGAACAAACAAGAAAAACGACATCAAAACCAAACCAAAGAGCACATGCCCCAAAATGAAGTTCAGTCAAATAAATTTATCCTTTTCTGAAGTTTGGAAAGCTGACATGGAGCAATACAGTTAAAATAGAGCATACTTGATCTGATACCACTAAAACTGTCTCCTTGCTAAGAAAGAACACAGGAACAAAAACCCTTGGGACCCTGCCAAATCTTTCTCATGTATTCGTTGTAGATAGGTAAACCTTTCCTGAGAATTTATTCCTGAAATAAAATTTTTAAAGCAGTGTAATGCAATAGAAAGCACCGCAATGACAGCAGAGCAACAAGATCCCAGGCTGCAGCAAGGGAGGACTTGCACAAATGTAACAGCTGTGGGCAAAGAAATAAACAAAAAAAACTGCTTACCTTCAGAAAGCCTCAGGGACACAAGGATCTCCAGGTAGGACAACCTTTCCTCCACTGCCAATCCCTAAAAGAGGTCTGGGAAGGGGTGGAACCAGGATCCACCCCTTCTGGTTACATGGGTGCACTGCATGCACCTGAGCTTCCCTGTCTTTGCCCTGCCTTCCTTCCAGATTCTCTGTTACTTTTTCAAGCCACAACTCAGCATTTCCATTGCAAGCAGGTATTTCTTCAGGACATGTATTTATTGAGAATATACGGTATGTCAGGTAGAATTTTGGTAGGACAGAGAAGAACATAACAACCTAGTTTATTTCAGGTATTTTGTATTGACATGTTTGTACAACAGGAATGGAGCAGAATTCAGCAGACACTGAGTTTGTTAAGGTCTTAGTACTAGTAGATTAAGAATCAAGATTAAAATCAAAATTGAATAATAAAAGTTTATCAGCAGATAAAAAGATAACACAAATCACATTCTACTATTAAAAATACTGCTAAATATAAAATTCAAATAAATTTATACAAAGGAAACCTGGTTCCTAGCAACACCTGATGAAGCCCAAGAATCATGAAGGGCACTGTATGAAGAATGCTGGGTTAGTTCCTGAAGATTAATGTTACAGGGAAGAATAAATCAGCATTAATTGTGTATTACAGTAACGTTCCTATCTACTAAGGATCTCTTCCTTAAAATCCTTAAGTGGTATTAATACATTTGTGATTTTTGAGAACAAACAGACCACAAATAAAAACTATAAAACGTTATTTTCTCTGTATGCCATAAAGGCTCCTTGGTGAGTTTTGATCAAGATGTTGTCTAAGGGATTGCTACGATTTCGGTCCTTCCCATCGGTGTAGCTTAGTTTTCTGGATACCCTGTACGAAATAATAGTTTAGAATAAAGAAAGTTACACAAAAATACTGTAATTGCTGACTACTTAATGAACAAAATGAATCAAACAAATCACTAAAGCGAGCTATCTGAACACCTTGACTATGAACAGCAGTGGGACTCCTTGCAGCCTTCCTATGTGTGTTCAGCTGAAGAGGTAACTTTTTAATATCTATTTTAAATGAATTTGGCTTACACTGATGAATAAGTGTAGCAATGTAGTTATAGGAAAGCATTCACATTTTCTTTTCAGAAATGTCTTTTTCATAATCAATTTCTAGATAAAGGCAGTCCTTTCCTTTCCACAACTGGCTACAACGCCATTAAAGTTTCACTCCTGAGATGTTTCTTACAAGTACAGAAGGCTAAGAATCTCACACCACAGGCCTAAGGAATCTTGCGACTTTACAGTTCGTTTAGCTACAAATCAGCAAATATGCAATTGCACAATTAATGAATGAAAAAATAGATTCCAATGCAGATGGCTCTGCAAGAAAGCACTTTGACATTCTCATTTCCTTTGCTTTCTGAAACTTCTCTATTTGCATGCAATAACAAAAGAAAAACCTTTTCCTTCTTCTGAACAATTACTAATTGCTAAATAATGAACTGCCTTTCTGATTATGTTCTCCATACAAATAGCTTAAAAGTACATTCAGGCTTCCTTTGAAATTTTAATTTGCATATTGTCAGAAAAATGTTTTATCAGCTGTTGGATCATCTGAAGCATAGTGAAAGTATTTACTGGCTTTGAGACAGCAAATTTAGGTAGCAAATTTTGTGGTGCCAAGTGGGATCTTCTGGCAAAACATTTAAAAATTATTTTATAAAATAAAGCAAAACTATTAGAGAACTTCTAATGCTTTTTAATTATGTGCCTATTAAATTGACTTGTAATTAAAAACCCAGGAGATCAGAAACTTGAGAAACCTTCAAAAGTCATATTTTCTGTGAAAAGTAGATGTTATAGGGCAGTAATCTGGGCGCTGAAAGAAGTTCTCTTGTCCCAGAGAAAACAGTTATCGCTAATAGTGACAGTTGATTTGAATGATAATACACTGAACTTTCCAGAAGTTAAGGACTTCTTAAAGACTTGCCAGCTCAAGTACACAGCCTGAGTCAAAAATATTCTGTAGTTAATCATGGCTGAAATAAGAAGTACCCCCTATAATGAACACAAAATGAGCTACTAGAGTAGCTGTTCAAATAGGCAATCTTGTTTTCATTAACCATCTAAGTTGGCTTCTGGCTAGTTTTTTCCACAGACACTTGCCTCCTCATGTTCAAGCCTACAGGTTGGATTAATTTGAGCTCTCTTGAGAATCCATGCCCATTTTCATTTTAGAAGTACTAATTTAAGCAACAACCTCCATACCATTAACATAAAAATAGAACAGCAAGAATTTCTGACATTTCTTTTCTCCAAAGAAACTTACTTTTGGGGGTATTTCAGTACATTTCCAGGGCTACTGTAATGTGGCATTGTCCTAGGCCAACTAGAGTGGACATCTGTATTCTCCAATTCTGGTGATGAAAAATAATATTATGAAAAGGACAAGAACTATGCAGAGTAACACAAACACTATAATACATGGTTAAAATACTTCAATCATACATATATATACTTCAATCAGCAAATTTCCATATGGAAATATTCTAATGAAAAAGGTTGTGGCAAAATTCATTTTCAAGAACATGCTATACCCCATATTTGTAAGTCTCAAATACACTCAATAATAAGCATTTTGAAAAACTAGCTTATCAAGACCATTAGTAATAAAAGCAGAAGAAAGAGATGATTCCAGGGAAAAAAAAAAAAAAAGGAAAAAAAAAAGGAATGGATAAAGTGCGAGTTAAAATTTGAGGAAAGTAAAATAAGACAAATGGGAATATTCAAAATGTTTGTAAAACTTATGTATCAGTAATGAAAATGCAACAATGCAAACAAACAAAACAAAACAAAACAACCCCAAAACTGATGCAAGCAAATGCGTTTCTTTTACCATTTTCCCTTTGTTTTGTAGTTGATAATATTTCATGAAGTCTTCCACAACATTTTTCCTTACACTTTGATTAGTTATTTGATGACCAGAGATCAATAAAAACAAAGTATAGAAAATAAATATTGGTGATTTTTACTAGGCTAGGAAAAAAAAGTTCAGGTTATGTTATAAACATGCCATAATCAAAATCAGATTATTAGAAGAAAACTATAAAATTAGTATCTAGAATCTTAAACTAATACAGCCTTTCAGTCTAGAGTTTGAATAAAATTCTATTGTTCTGAATCACCAAAAGTTGCCTTCTTCAGATCAGTAATTAAATTCACCTACACAAGTAACAACAGCCATGCAACAATGCAAGTGCAGATTTTTGCATAGCTGAAGAATCTAAATAAAAGCATTGTGTTATTCAAGTGGTTATTAAAAAGCTATCAATTTTCTGAAAAGTAAAAACAACCACCAATACAAAAAAAGAGAAAACCACTAAATAATAAGCAATACTTTAGTAGGAAACTTCTTAAACTGCTGTTAACATGCAAATCAGGAAACCCTGATTTCTACTTAGATTCCTTACTTACTGAAGTAAAACTTAAACATATCCAAATATTACTGAGGAAGACGAGCTGTCACCTAGAAATATGTGTTTACAGAGGAAATCCATAGATATACTCTTTAAAGAAGTGATTGCTAAAGCAGTAATTCATATAGCCTCTGAAACTAACCTTTCAATGAAACATCGGGAATAACAAGAAAAGTTTTATCTGAAGAAGCGTGAAACCCAGAGTCCTGAAAGGAAAGCATCAACCTACTGTGTCAGTGGAAAAAAAACTGCAGTTATTTTTTCACTATTTGCCTTAGAAGAAGCAACAAGGAGCTTGGCAATAAGGTCTTGATTTAAAACAAGCTTGGTAATTCCAGCAGCGCTCAATAAAACTTAATTCCATTGTATCCATGTATGTAGTAAATAAAATACAATCATTTCAGAAGGACAATATGTTAATTAGCAAGGTCACTGAAATGATCTTAACCAATGACATGGTGTACTAAAAACATGAGAAAATCTTTTAGTTAGGATTTTAAAACAACTTTCAAAGTTACCGAGCAGTGAGGTTCCCCACGGGAGACTTAACACAACTTGAGGTTTGCACAACGAATATTGCTGTGCAAACAAATCTCCTCAAGTTCACAAAATTACCAAACCAAACAAATAGTGCTGGAAGTGTGCTGTCACTAGTCTGAAGTCCTTTCAGCACTGGTCAATTTAAGTGTTTCTCCAAGTAGCAGCAAAACAGTCATTTTCACAAGATCTTTAAGTACCTGATGATGACAGTTGTGACTGTTAAAAAACCTGGTGTTACTGCCATTGTGTAGCCTAGCAGAATCCATGCCAACTGTCTGAAGATCACCATATTTCTTGTGAGAAATCTGCTGACATTTTGTTGAAAAAAAATGTTCAGGCATATTTTTCAGTCGCTTTACTGGTGAAGAAAGAAGATCACTTTGAAAATTTCCTAGTCTCTTAACTCTGGGAATTGCATATAAAGATCGAACAGGTGAGTTAACAAGAGCATTTACAGTTTCTGACATCTGTATTCCTTCATATTTCCTTAAATTTGAAGCTCTTTGGAAACCAGGAATTTTTTGAACCACCTCACTAGACAACTGCTGATAAATCTTCTCAAATGCGATGTTATACTGTATATTGGATCTCACAGAATCACTGAATGTATTCTTCATTATTCCTTTCTCTTCAAGCTTCTGTGAGTTTGAAAGTGGTCTTGTCAATGTCAAAGGCTTTTGGCTTTCTCTGGAAAGCAGTTTGTAGTAGAGTTTCTCAAAGGCATCTTCGTATTTTTGGGGTGTCTCTGAAGGACTCTGCTTCATAGACAATGAGGAAAATGAGTGTCTGCGTTGCAAAGAATTCTGCCTCTCAGAAATTTTTATTTCAGGATTTATGAGCAATGTATCTGATGCAAGATAATAGTCTTTGGTAGGTGTAAAAGTATTACTGTTCCTAACAATACTACAAGTAGATGAGCAAAAACCTGATGTATCGTCAGAAAGAAAGTTATTTTTTTGAGCTTTACTTTCTTTTGCCAGATGAAGTGCCACCAATCCTGAACTGGCAGAAGATGTTCTAAGCGGTGGTTCCAAAGAATGTTTGTAAGTCAAGTTTCTCAAGTTTCCACTTTTGTTATATTTTGAACTGTACAACGAGACAGTAGTCTGTAATTGATCTTCTGCTAGAAAAGTCTTTCCCATTCTAGCCAAAGCATTAGCATTCCGTTCAGAAAGTTTTTGGTCCTTTCCAAATACCAAATGATAATCTAAATTTGAATCAGAGCAGTCCATTTCCATGTCGTCACTGTCACTGTCTGAAAATGGTACCAGACCAGATGAGTTATTAATAAAACACTGATTATCACAAGGTCTGCTATTCTGATTTAGTTTAGTTCCAAAAGTTTGATTCTGGATGTCTGTACTACTGCTGCATATGCTGGGTAGTGCTTTCTTCAATTTGAGTGGTCTGAATTTTCTTATTTTTTCTACAGTGATACTGAGCTTTGGTCTTTTAGCATGCCCTTTTTTGTTCCTGTAGTGTCCAAACAAGTATTTAAATGTTTTTTTCCGAGTTTCCCTTGTAATAAGCTTTGTCAGAACCTCTACCATTTTAGGATACAAGTCTGCAAGTGTTACATTACTCCAGGAACAACTTTCATCTGCAGACTGATATTCTTCCAATATACTATTATAGCAAGTTTCACTCATTTCTTGAAAAGATTGATGCCTGGGTACAGTTATTGTATCTGGTAACATAGGAACGCCAGAAAATTGTAACTGGTAGGGGCTGGAAAAAGAACATTTATTTGCCAATTCTACTTTCTTTCTGCAAACATTGCTTTGGTTGCCTATTCAAAAGAGAAAAAAACAACAATTAAGACATTTTAGTAACATAACTTAAAATATTACATGTGGTACAGATATCTCCTATATCACTGAGCTTTTTTGCCAAGTTAAATGAATTATTAATATACCATTAGTTAGGAGAAATTAAAAAAATTTGCTTAATGACATTGACTTAACAGATTATAGAAGACAGAAATGAAATGCATTGGGGAAAGAAAAAAAAAACAACAAACACCCAACAACTGTAAAGTAGCTTAATATATAGACAGAAAATGCATTTATTATAGAGGCAGACTGCTTTGCTCTCTAATTTCTGACCAGAAGGCACAGCTTCATCCTACAGATGTTAACGTATTTCTGTATTTCTTGAAATCTTTGTGTTTAACCAGTACCAATGCAGCTTCACTTGAGGTAAAGCATAAGAATCATGCTTCTTGTAGCCTTCAGGCTTGAAACATTTACACCAAAATTCTATCTAAAGTTTCCAGGATCAAGTCTATAGACATGTTACTGGTTAAATACTGCTTTGACTACCAGCACATCCAAAGCCAATCCTTGAATCAAATATGAGCAGTAACAAAACAGTCATGCTTTCAATAAATTGAACATACTTCTGTTGAAGTCTGTAATATTTAATAACCAACATATTTGACCCACACCCAGATGATATAGTTGTACCTTTCAGTTCTCGTACTGGTGAAGTGAAATGACTTGATGAAGGCTCTACCTGAAAAATGAACAAAGTAAAAAAGACACATGAATCCTAAATTTATCCTGAATTTTTTGCATGTTAAAAGTAACACCAACATTTTATTTATGACTCCTCCTGCTCTCCCCTCAATATACTAGGTCCTATACACTCAAATTATAAAAGGAGGAAAAAGCCTAGTTTAAGACTTCAGTAGGATTTCTTAAGAGTTCAGGGAAGTTATTATAATCTTTGCAGCTTCTACATTACGTAGTATATTTCAGTCTTTTTTCCCAGATTTGAAAATTTATAAGTGGATATATATATATATCCATATGTTAACACACACACACACGTCCACATAGAAATTCTGAAGTTACATAAATTTATATGGATAATCTACATATCTCTGGCATATATGGTAAGAAATGGATGCTGGAACATGTACTGTAAATAAATTAAATTCAAAATCTTAGTTCTTTTTCCCCTAAAAACCTCAAACTGAGGCTTTTCATAAGATCTACTGAAGTGAAAACCAATTCACACATCAGGGTAAAAAACAGTAGCAATAGAATTCAAAGAAGTATTTGGATATTGCCTGCTAAGTTTCTTATAATGATTGCCATCAAAGATTTGAGATACTGTGATATTTACATAGGCAGCAAGCTGCAGAGAAGTTATATTAAGATTCACTGTGCTATAGCAACAGAATCAGTGTTTTTCTAATTAGCAAATAACTTTTAACAGAGCAGGAGAAATACGTTACCGTAATCCATTTGGGAATTTTTCTTTCATTATCTTGTACTATCACATCTACTCGAACCTGTACTTTCTCTTGCATTTTCACATCATCTACATCCAGATTCTTAAGGGAAAAAAAAAAAGAATAAGGATTTAAATACAAAGAAGTCATTGACACAGGAAAGCACAAATTCATTACTTAGTTGTACGTCCAACTCCAATTCAGACGAGGATTTCCAATGACCATGAAAGTTATTTTATTAATGTATGTTTTGATGTATATTTATTAAAAAAAAAAAAAAAAGTCTCAAGAAGGAACTGTATGTCAAAACAGAGATAAGTAGATAGTTTTTTGATCCAAGGAACCTACCGACTGAAAAAAAAACAACCAAAACAACTCAAACCCCACCGAACAACAAAACAAAAAACCGACAAAAAACAAACCAACCAGCCAATTTCCTAAAAGCCCCATAAAAACCAGCTAAACAGTTCCACTGATAAGTTACAGAGCGATTTGGTGATAAATGACAGGTGTTTATAATTAGTGAAAATAACAAGTCAAATGTCTAGAACTTTTGCTAAACAAAATAGAAAAGTAAATAACTTTCTGGCAATTGTATCTGAGCAAGTAGAACTCAGGATTGGATTGGCTTCACACACAAGATGCACGTTGTACTTTACTTCATAACTAGTTTGGGTAGTCTTGATACTTGAGCATAGCTTTGGCAAAAAAAACCAAAACATTAGATTCTATTCTGCATTTGTTACACTAGTCATTATTTCAGGTTTACTTTTTAAAAATCATATTCTCACTTTCTATTAGACTATCGAAAAGAACAATTATATTTAAAAGGTGTTTTTACTTTGTGATTCATCTGGTTATTCTTTTTGCATACCTACAAGAGCTTTTATCAGATTTGCCTGTTCTGTACAGCATATGGTTTTCTCCGGTGTACTATTACTCAAACATCGTAACTATTTCAATAAATAATCTCATGGAGAATGATACAAACTTCTAATTTGCTCTACTGACTATAAACATGCATTAAGATGCACAATGCAGAGTCATCTGCTGACAGTCCACTAACTCTTCAGGCAAATACAATCTATAGAAGTAATTCAATTATTTCTACTAAACACAAAATTATTCTATTGCATTAGACACCAGAAATTTTTACCTGGAAGTGAATGTCTTCAAATCTTCTTCTCACTGTCACTATCTCAGCATCACTTTCTTCACTTGCAGTTTGATCTTAAACAGTAAATGAAACTTAGTTTTTCTCAAAATCGAAAATCAAGTTTCATGGAAATGTTTTAAACAAATGCTGTGTAACACTGACTAAAGAGGTTTCATTGCAGAAAATTGTTTCCTACTATAAAGCCTTCCATGTGTATTACATTTCCATTTCAAGTCCAATTGAAAAACGTGATTTATAGACTTATAAATAACTTGTGAGGAAACAGACAAGAGTGAAGATAACTTGTCTGCAGCCAGTTCTTCAAGACATACGTTAGCAGTTTCAGAAGGTAGTATATCTTCAAAGCATTGCTCTGATGGCATATTCATACACTATTCCCACTTCCTTCCTGCTACATTTCTAATTATCCCAGCAAACACAGTAAGGAAACAAATATTGTCGCTTTTTTGTAGCATGCTTTTCTCACTTCTTACTATTAAGAAAGCCTTAGAACTGCTAAGTGAAACTTGAGAATATTACAAAAACAAATGGAAATTTTCCAACTCAATTTTTGGATACTCTACAAGTAATTCTCAAAATGATTTTGCTAGAGGTAGCCAGATAGTTCAAATCATCACTAGCTAAAGCCTCAGCCTTTCATGACAAATATAACACTTGACTGCATTGTAAGCCCCAATTTATTGGCTTCTTTGACTGTTATATTTGTTCCATTATCACCTTCAATCCTGGGAGAGGAGAAAACCCCTGAAAGGGAAAGTGAGTGAAAAAATTCTTATGAAACTGACCTAACCACTGTGCTTTCACAGAATCATTGAACGGCTTGGGTTGGAAGGGACCCCAAGGATCATCAAGTTCCAACTACCTGCTACAGGCAGGGCCATCAACCTCCAGATGTGATACTAGACCAGGCCCAAGGCCTCATCAAACCTGGTCTTAAGCACCTCCAGGGATGGAACATCCACAGCCTCTTCGGGCAGCCTCCAGTGAGATTCCAGCACCTCACTGCTCTCTCCGTGAAGAACTTCCCCGACATCTTTCATACTGTTCTTAAATCACTAAATCAGAATGAAAATTTTTCCCAGATAACACCACGTTCCTTTTTTGTTCCCTGTCACTGCAGTCATCACCTAAAGCTCTGTGGGCTGCTGCCACCATAGAGTTAGGATAAAGAATAACATGACCAGAAGCAGGTTTTTTTTTTTTTGGAGGAGACCACAAAATTTTGCATCCTCTTGTAAAACTGCTGATCAATCAGAGGGTTGGCTTCTGCAATCTATCTAACTTGAGTACAATTATTTTATTAGAACTGAAATGCATACCAGCCAGATTATCAAAGTTTCTTCGAACACGATTGCAAATCCCTGGAACATTAATTATTAGTATAGAAGTGTGGTACAGCACAGAATGGAAGAAAACAAAGTATCCATCTTCTTCAGAGAACTTTAAGATGTTTTTAAGAGCCAAGATGGAAATAAAATTAACACTTTTGTTCCTCAAATGAACAGGTAAAGAACAATGAAAATTCATTTGCCATAAGAAACCAAAGAAGGTAGGTCCTAATTATTTTCCCTACTAACTACAGATCAATACTTATAAGTGCAGGTGAGAACTGTTTTTCTGTACCATCCTTCATATACTTTTAGAAAAAAAAAAAAGTGTCTAATAACTGGAAGAAACAACTGCCTTCACTTAGAAAGGTGAAGCATCCTGTATGAATACTACAGATGGACAAAAAGAAAAACGAATCAAAAAAAGTTTAGCTAAAGCAACTAAAGATGTCCTTTTTCCTTAACAGTTATCCTGACCCATTCCTGATCTTCTATATATTAAAAAAACAAACAAATAAAAAACAACAAATTCAACTTTTAAGCAAGGAATCCAAATCCCCCACTTCTAAGAAGCTGATTTCTAGGTTGCACTGTATTTGAATAGAGCTGGGGACTCAGTGAGGTTGCTATAAGCCTCTCCACTCTTTTTCTAGCACACCCATAGGAGAAAGAGTGCATAATCACATTCTATGAAGATACCAGAGTCTTAACTACATACGCTCATTTATTCCATGAGTGCAAAAGACAAAGGAAATTTTAGAGAAGCAAGGCTACAAAATCCTCCGAAACTTCTTTCCTATATTGTATTGCATAGGTTGAGAAAAAAAAGAAGTCACATTTTCCAAATGTGCAGAAAAAGTCTGTTTTACCACTCAATATATAACTTATATTCTGCTCAAGTAATAGGAGGGCAAATTTCAGTGTAGTTTTTATATGAAGAAACTAATGTACATACACCAGTGTATTTAAAAAAACACTGATGATATTAATGCAACCACTATTTCAATCATTAAATGCTGCGTATTGAACATTCATGCTTTAATTCATGCAAAACTGCAAATTTTATATCAAAAAGAATCAAAAAGATCTTGTGTAATGCAAAACTAAAGTAGTAGTGCTTCTCCAAAAGTAATGCCTCCTATGTTATTACGTTGGCCCACGACTTCAGAAGCAGATGGTGGCGGTATGGCAGCAGATTGAACCTTCTGTTACATGTTGTTGCCATGTGACAGATGGCAGCAGTGGGGCAGTCTGACACAATGGCATCTGACATGGGAATGTGTACGAAGCAAAGGTGTGGAACTGAATTCCATCACGCAGAACAAACGTCAGCTACTTGTGACATTCACTGACGCTTGTTGAACATTTCTGGAGACCAAACAGTGCATGTGAGCACACTGAGGTGCTGGGTTGTACATTTCTGTGGTGGTGACAGTCGGTCACCTCTGCTTGTGCATATGTTTAATGCTTTAATAGTACTAGCAGTACCTCTCAAGCTCACAGAGTTCAAGAACTGTATGGACAGCGCTCACAGACACCAGGTTTGAATTTTGGATGGTCCTGTGTGGAGCTGGGAGTTGGAGACAGCGATCCTTAAGTTTCCTTTCCAGCTAGGGATATTCTGCAATTCTGTGAAAACTCTACAGCACGTTCATAATGTTTTGGGTGGTTTTTTTTGTCATTTTGTTTTTCTTGCAAGGGAACCTTCCAGAACTGCTATGCCTGCCTTCATTTACAGATAGGTCCATCAGCAATCGTTTATTATTTTCCCCCACGTATTTCATAAGGAGAAAAAATATAGAGTATAAGATATTCCATATTTCGGTAAAACTCATGGAGCAACATTTCCTCTTTTCACATTTCAGTTTCTGTATTATTCTGTATTAACTACAAGAACACTAACACTTGAACTGACCAATTAAATAAAATCCACACATAGGGGAGCAGTTATCTTCACACAAATCTTACTTCTGCATAAGCTTATTTCATAATTAGCCTCTACGCCAGATACTGTTGTGAATAAAATTACTGAAAACTGCTTTGATATAGTTGTAAAAAAAAAAAAACCCATGCATTAAATCTCTTGTCACCTCATTAGATTTAAAAAAGTATCCACAAGCTACAATGAAGTTTATATACCATACATATAGAAGTTATTGCCTAACGTTCTTACTGCACAAGTAACAGAAATGTGATCTTTCCCAAAAGAGAGCATCTTTATCTTCAAATATAAGACAATGCTGATACTAAGGCTATAGCAGGATTTTTCCTGACTGGGTGGACGAGACAGACTCATGCAGACTTAAAGACTGAAAATGACATATGCACTTAGCAAACATGCTTTCCCTATTCAAGATGGAGATTAAAGAAGCTTCTGCTCAGTGCAGAATTTACTGCTCTTGCTTTTTCTGTATTTGTTTCCAGATAAACTGATGTCAAATATCACGAGGGATTTATATTTTATTACATCTCAGATCTAACTGAAGCACACAGACATTACTGACTCATGTAAATACTTTAAGTATTCAAATTATACCATAATTAATCTTGCTTCCTAGATCAACATTTTAATTTTGTAGAATGATTCAAGGTATATACCTGAACTTTATACAGACACATTTTTGGTAGAATTATGAGAAGAGAAAGAGAGACATTGGCTTTTGTTTTCTCTTCACATATCCAGCATAGAAGTTTCTGTACTATATACACCATAACATCCCCCTGTCAAAAAAAAAATCTTTTACTTTATTGGAACATGCAGCTCCTTTTAAGACCAAATGTGAAGGGAGAAGTAGAACACCAGAAGACTAAGTAGCAACAGAACATGCTCAATCTTGATTTAAATTCCTTTGTGGTACTTGATCATTTTGACGTTGTGATGAGGTGAGACGTGGTTTAGTGAGAACTATTGGTGACGGGTGGATGGTTGGACTGGGTGATCTTGTGGGTCTTTTCCAACCTTGGTGATTCTATGATTGACCCATAAAGAAATATCTACATTTTCAGCAGGCAGCCTAATTCATTCAGCTCACAGAATAATCTGCTAAATTTTGGATCACTCATCATGCAACTCGGTGAGTTTCTTTTAACATATTTCTGACTATGCCTACTTGCGTTGTTCCTTTCAAAAAGCTAGCAAACTCCAAATTCCTCCACATGGACACCTAACTCAGGGTAGGATTTGTAGATTCAATGAACATCTGACAAAGGCTAAACAATACAATAAAAGCCTGTCTGTGTAACTGATAAGAGACATTATTTTAATCAAGTTGTGATGATAGCAATGTCAATCAGAATTTATTTACTCATTTTAAATGTTTTATCTAGGCTTCAGAATCCTTATGAACATAAGCATTAGTACGGGTTTTTGGTCACAGGCCAACTTATCCAAAAGAGTCTTGACTTTGTAGAACTTAACACTGTTTGTATTTTAAGCACTCTACCTGCAGTCCTTTGACTTCTTACATGATGCTGCAATTAGAAACAGGAAAAAGAAATGTCAGAAGAATCTTAGAATAGTAAAGTAGCTTCAACTGAAATCTTCATTTTCTTACAAGGAGGCACTTCCTAAATAACCATGCAGTTTCCTTCAGCTTCTGCAAGGCCTTTCCAGCCTTGATGTCTGATCTTTCATACTGTTACTGTTAAAATCACGATAAGAACATATACTACAGTTACTGTGGCACACGAGGCACTAAAATAGAATTCTTCTTACAGCTCTTAATGGATTAAGTCTGAAAAGTTGGGCAGACACTCACCTGTTGCAATGTTTAGTAGGTGATACACATAAAAGAGAAATACAGCCACATTTCTTTCGCCATTATATCTACTCTTAAGCTCCAAGACTGAATTTCACCCTCTTCTCCATGCACTACGAGGTTCAGAACAGTTTCTGTGTTAGGTAATAAGGCACACTGCACAGCTTTGCCTTTTTTTTTTTTTTTAAAACAGGTAACACAGAAAGCATGGCAGCAAGGTGGCTCTTTATATTTAGTGAGAAACACTGAGCTTTTGACAAACCTCTTTTATGTTCTTATGAAGCAGTTCAGAAAACAGAGTAAGAAGTGACTGTATGTACAACATCTCTACTTAGAATAAAAATGTACAGAAAGCATGCCCACAACACTATAAATAGAAAACACTTTTCCAGCTTTAATAATAGTATATAAACATCTACTTCCATCCCTCTCATGGGATATTCTTAGCCAATCCATCCTAAAAATCTACTTTAAAGTAGTTACTGATATCATTGATTGATGCCTCCTGCATGTATTAAATGACACAACAAAATTAGAATCTATTGCTATAGATACATAGGAAAGAGATACAGAAATATCGACTATATTATTAGGTACCTTCAATAGTTTTCTAAGCTCCTTGATTGATAGATCTCCCCATTGCTTTGGTCCTAGAAATCACAAGAAACGTTAATGCAAACACAGCATTTCTTATAAAACTATTTATCTGTATTGAGTGGTAGTAACAAGAGAATCAAATCTGAACAATCTTCAGCACAATGGCTGAAATAAAATTTAATAGGAAAACAAAACAAGAGAACAGTGTAATTTCAAGTTAAAATTGAGAAGTTGGTTTAAAAAAACAAACAAACAAAAAAAAAACAACAAAAAACAACAAAAATCCCCACCCCACTAATCTAACAACAGTGAGCTAAAACCAAAGAGCATTAACAAACCATCCACTATGAAGCAAGTAATGAAAAAGCACATTAGTTTGTTTCAGTAAGTAAGTTTTATTTAGTTCATGCAGACTGCATGGAACTTGAGGATGTTTAGAGCCATACTAAGGTCTTTATGTACTGAAATCCATAATGACAGACCATGTGCCTAGAAGCTACTGAATTAAAACTGTAACCAAATCCAAGACTGAATACTACAGTGCTGTATGTATACGCAGTCTTCACTCTGCCCCCAGCTGTGGCGAGCACTCAGTGCATCCATTACAGTGAGCTTGAAGCTGTGGTAGCACTTCATGCCTACATTGTTCTCTACAAGAACTGACATGTCAATTACACTTTATAATCCACAATTCAGTCCGGATAAAACCTGCAGTGTTTCACCTCTCAGTAACTATGCTACTAAATTATAGGTCTTTCCCTCTCCGTAAGTATTAGCCACTCTATAACAGATTAACAGTTATAACGAAACACTGCAACATATGACATGGCATAACATGATATAGATTTATGCTAAGTACATGAACATTCAGTGAAAAAGACACTACTTATCTGTTCTACTCTGACAACTGACACACTAGAAATGTGTAACTCAGAGCAGCCTTAAGAATACTAATCAGAGCCAAAATTACAGAACCCAATCATGTCTATCAGCTTCCTGCTACTGCCTCTACTACTTTGTTCTAGCCTTCAGCATTTTGATTCTGGCATTACAAGTCACTCAGATATTAACTGCTGTTTTCCTGTTGTCTAAAACAGCATGCAAGGACCTGAAAAAGTGCATGTAAGCCATTCCTCCTGGTACTACTACACTCATAGCAAAGTTCATAGACAAAATGCAGTTCCCGAATGGACAAGAGCCAGAATTTGTTTGTAACTGCCAACAGCTACAGCAAACTTCATTATGTGTAAATGCACAGCATGTAAATATAATATTGAAGCTGAAAGAAGTTCTTACCATCAGGTGTGTCATAAGTGAGGGTTTCCATGGAAACAACGAAGTCATCCTCAAAAGGATAATTATACTAAATAAAAACATAATTAAATATTAGCATAAGACACTGAATCATAAAGTGACTTGAGTTGGAAGGGACATCAAAGATCATCTAGCTCCAATCCCACTGCCACAGGCAGGGACAATTAGATCAATCACCAGACCAGGCTGCCCAGGGCCCCATCCAAGTTGGCCTCAAACACCTAAAGGGATAGGGCATTCTCAACCTCTTTGAGCAATTTCATTCAGCACCTCACCACTCTCAAAGTTGGACATTTCCCCCTAATATCTAACCTAAATCTCCCTTCCTTTAGGTTAAAACCATTTCCCTTTGTCCTATCATTACCTACTCATGTAAAAAACTCGACTTCCCTCCTGTTTATAATCTCCCTTTAAATACTGGAAGGCCTCAATAAGATTTCCCCAGAGCCTTCTCTTCTCTAAGCTAAACAACTCCAGTTGTCTCAGCATTTCTTCATAGGAGAGATGCTTCAGCCCTCTGATCAGAGGCTGGTCTGATCAGAGCCCTTAGTGCTCTGGATTGTCTCCATCACCTCCAAATCTTTTTTGTGCTGGGGGTCCCAGGCCTGGACACAGTACTCCAGATGGGGCCTCACAAGGGCAAAGCAGGGGGTGAACGATCCCCTCCCTCTCCTTGCTGGCCACTGCTCTACTGATGCAGCCCAGGATACTGTTGGCCTTTGGACTACAAGAGCACACTGCTGGCTCATGTCCAGCTTTTCACCAATCGGGACCCCCAAGTCTTTCTCTGCAGGGCTGCTCTGAATGATTTCTTCTCCCCTAAATATAGGTAAATAATTAAAAACAATTTTAGATGGAATTTTAAACGTAGTTTACATAATTTTACATAATTTACATAATTTTGCTTCGACTGAAACTCTCAGTGTGTTGTTTTATTGGTGGAAGTTAGAAGCCAGCATCTGGAAACACTATTCCAAGAAAAAAAAAACAAACAAACACATTTTAACATGAGCCATTTAATTTCAAAATATAAGCCAGAAACGGGGAAAGCGGGGATTCAAAGAGTTCTTAAAGCGGAAAACGTTACAAGGAGTCGCCTGGAATTAGCTACCAAGCACAGATGTGCAGCTCACGACCTATGACAACATCCAGCCTAAGGCCAGATGAAGACAGCGGGGCAGAAGCCGCCTCGACTTTAAGGCCAGCACCAGCACCATCCCCAGAACGTGAACCAGAGCAGCTGCGTGACCGCTGACCGTTCGGCATAAACACACGCATGCCTGCACCCCGCATCTTTATCACAAAATGGCTGTGAGGTGAAGCTTCCTGAGGGAAGCTGTCAGAGTTCGCGAGAGCGCAGCGAGGAACCCACCGCCCCCCCCCCCGCCAGCAGCGAGACCCGTGCGGCTTCACCCACCGCCACCGCAACGCGGCCTGGCAGGCAGGCCGGCCGGCCGCCGGGACGCACACACCGCTCAGCTCGGTTCTCACCCGTTCCAAGATGCCGAGGATAGACGTCTGGAAGCGGGTTTTGCTCCGTCGCAACCACTCGTCCAGATCCAATGCCATGACGCGAAGCAGCGCAGCCCTTCACGCCCCGCTGCCACTGCCGCCACCGACGGCCTCCGCCCCTCCCACACCGATTCAAACTGCCCGCGTCCCTCCCCGCTTCCTACCTTCTATTGGGTGCCGCTCACGTCAGTCCAGACACAGCAGCCATTCACAGTGCGCTGTGCACGACTCTTTTCTCTCTGATTGGCTACTCGGGCAGTCAGTCGTCTGAAAACCCTCCCATTAGACACGGGGCTCGCGCCGGGCCGGAGGCCGAGTGCTGCGAGAAAACGGCGTTCTACATAGAGGCCGTCCCGTAGCGCGAGCTGCCGTTGGCCACGGCCAATTCTATAGGCAGCTGTTTCCGCGTCGTTCCGAGCGCCGCTTGTTTATGGGCGGATAGAATTCACTATCTTCTTGTGCCCGTAGTCAAATCTTGTACCCCTAACTGTAGAGATGCAATTATGGTGTTCAGGTGGGCAGGAGTGACCTCCATAAGCTTGTTGATAGTATTCCTATCACAGAATCACACAGAATCACGGAATGGCCCGGGTTGGAAGGGACCTCAAGGATCGTGAATCTCCGAGCCCCTTGCTATAGGCAGGGCCACCAACCTCCACACTTAATACTAGACCAGGCTGCCCAGGCCTCCTTCTAACCTGGCCACAAACCTAAAGGGATGGGGCATCCACAGCCTCTCTGGGAAGCCTGTTCCAGCACCTCACCATTCATAGTAAAGAACTTCCCACTGCACCTCTCACACTAGCAAGTGTAACTTCTAAGCTAGGCCAAACTATCACTTCACAGTGTGGTGAAGAGACAATTTTTAGAGTCATAGAACATCCTGAGTTGTTAAGGATTCACAAGGATCACAGAATCATAGAGACATACAATGACTTGGATGGTTGGAACCACCAAGTTCTGACTTTGTGCCCTGGGCAGGACTGCCACCCAGCAGCTCAGGCTGCCCAGGGCCCATCCAACCTGGCCCTGAATGCCTGCAGGGATGGAGCATCCACGGCTTCTCTTGGCAGCCTGTGCCAGGGCTTCACTGCCCTTTGAGTAAAGAATAACCTCCTAATATCCAACCTAAATCTCCCCTCTTTTAGTTAAAAACCATCCCCCTTTGTTGTATCATTATCAGATCATGCAAGAAGTCAGGTTCCATCTTGTTTATAAGCTCCCTTGAAGTGCTGGAATGCTGCAAAGAGGTCTCTCCTCAATCTTCTATTTTCCAAGCTGAACAAGCCCAGCTCCCTCAGCCTGTTTTCACAGGAGTGGTGCTCTAGCCCTCTGATCATCTTTGTGGCCCTCCTCTGGATCCACTTAAATAGCTCTATATCTTTCTTGTGCTGTGGGTACCAGATCTGGACACAGTACTCCAGATGGAGCCTCACGGGCTGAGCAGAGGGGAACAATCTCCTCCCTCACTCTGCTGGCCACCCCTCTTTTGGAGCACCTCTCAGCCACAAGCACATGCTGCTGGCCCATGCCCAGCTTTTTTGTCAACCAGAACCCCCAAGTCTTTCTCTGCAGGGCTGCTCTCAATGAGTTCCTTTTCAGTTCTGTACACTGCTCTGAGGAAGGTGCAGCACCCTGCATGCTTGGATCTACTGAACCTCATAAGGTTCAAATGGGCCACATTTGTAGCTTGTCCAATTCCCTTTGGATGACATTCCCTTTCCTTTAACAACCACTTAGTTTGGTGAATGCCTGTACCCACTGCCCTGGGAGCCTGTTCCAGGGCCGGACCATCCTCTGGTGCAGAACCTGTCCCTAACCCCCAGCTGCCCCTCCCCTGACACATCTCCAAGCCGTTCCCTTGGGCCCTGTTGCTGTTACACTGAGCAGAGCTCAGCGCTGCCCCTTCACTCCCCTCATGAGGGGCTGCAAGCCACCATGAGATGTCCCCTCAGCTACTCTGCTCTGGTCTGAACTAACCCAGGGACCTCAGATGTTCCTCATATTTAAACATGTTAAGTGCCATTTCTTGTAAAAGAAGATTTTTTTGTTCAGCCGGCTTTTTTCAGGGCTTCCCAGGGCAGCAGTGCCTCATTGTAAGGGAACAGTGCGGGTACCGGTTGTAGAGAAAGCCACACAGAATATTCACCTTTCTGCTTGATTCGGCAGCAACAGCCAGAGAACTGAATTCTGGAGAACTGGTTGCTAAATGCCCACTACAAACCCTGCCATTGCCAGCCTTTCTCCAGCCAGTCCATAGGGTCATGGCCCTTAGGTCACAGAGGAGGGCTTGTCATTGGCATCACTGAAAGTGTAAATTTCCCACCATTATGGAGTTGTTGGATGCCATCCCATTCCCGTTCAGTACTCTTCAAGCAGCCATTTATTTTCTATAAATAAAGATTAAAAATAAAAATGTGCTCTCAGCACATCAAGTGCCCTGGAACTGTCCTTTAAAAAAATGTTTGCCATTTTGCTAGTGCAAAGACATAGATGCATTTTTCATAATGGCTCATAATCGACAGTTGATTTATATTTATCTACTTACTATTTGTGAGCTCCGTTGCAATAAATTTCTTTCTGAAATGCCAGAACTACAGAAACATCAATTTTCTGCATTATTACTGTTTCATGGTGGAGAAGTTTCCACAGCTCACAAGTTCTGCAGTAGGGCTTTGCCCTTTTTCTGGAATCAGCAAGATGCAGTTTTTGTGTCATCACTGAATGAAATTCTGTGCTCAGTGGTTAAACCATCTGTGTGGTGAGTAATCAAGTCACACTGATTGGGGGCAGCATGAAGAGAAAGGACAAGTATGGTGATTTGAAGCTAACAAGCAAGATGGTGCCCCAACACTTACCACTATCATTCAGAATCATTCTGGAGATCACCTAACTATATTCTTTATTTGCCAGATATCCCCCTAGGGGTGGATTTGTTACTGTTCCCTTTGACTGAAGCTACGATTGGACTGTGTAAAAATTTATATAAACTTTGTCAGATTTTTTTTAAAAAGTACCTACTAGGAATAAACTCAAATCTATGCATCTCAAATTAAGTTGCCAAAACCACAGTCCCAAGTCCTTCTAATCTTTCCTTCCCCCTGGGTAAAAGAGGAGTATTATTACTTTTACTGTCCTGGATACTGGAAAAGTAAATTCTACAATATTTCCAGCATAGTCATATATTTGGATAAGTCAGAATATTACTAGGAAGTTTAAAAATAGATAAGTCTCTCTCTCTCTCTTTCGGTATATATGTATACTCAGGACAAACTTCATATGACACATAGTAAATAAGAGCTCAAGTCTCCCTTAGCCACTTGAGCACTCTTGTGACTCATGTTCGGCCAACAATCCCAGGTCCCTTTCTCTTGCAAAGTCTTCCCAGGCACACTGCCCCAGGCATGGTCACATTGTGACCAAAGTGCAGGACTTGGCACTTGTTCTTACTGAACTTCATCCCATTTGCTTCAGTCCAGTGATCCAGCCTGTCCAAATTCCACTGTAGGGCCTTCCTACTCTCAGACAGATTGACAGTTCCTCCCAGTTTCATTGAGTTCATTATTATCCATGTGGAAAATAAAGCATATCTTAAAGTCATTGATTCTTCACTTTAGAGTCTAGGGTTGTGACGTCATTCATTGTGAGGTTTTGTGCTGCCATTGCCATGCTTTGATAATTAAAGGTTGAAATACAGTACGTACAAAGGATGAGATTAATTAGTTTCTTCCGAAATTTTCTTGGGAGCCACTCATTTTAGAGTTCTTATGTCTTGTAATTTATTAATATGTAATTTTATACGAAAAATAATAAAAATAGCCCCAATTTATTGACGTAATTGCTAACCTAAGAAAATAGAGGAAGTTCTTTTTATTTCAGTTGCTGATAGAAGATCATTGAGCCAGTGTATCCAGAGGTTAATTTCTTTGAATCCGTGTGACACCACAAGAATGACAAAAACACTCAAAAAAAACGGTTTTTTTTTACCACTCAGGTCAGAAAATGTGAGTGGGCATTCAGCAGTTGAGTGCAAAAAGTTGTAACTAGTTTATTTGATAAGATGGTAGCAAAAAATGACCTTGAGAATCACAGCTGACAAATGTTAGGTAATGCTTTTGCCTGAAGGAGGTGTTTATACAGACTGCAAAGTAAGATAGTGTATTAAACTGCAAACAAGCAAAAGAAAGGACCAAATGAAAAGAAATAATGCTAAAACTTTGTGTGTTAAAACTTCTGTAAGAGATAGAGCAGCTGTCCAGGAAATGGAAAATGTTTTCTTAGTGCTCCTCTGTATTTTCTTATGTCTTCTGCTTGTTATGACTTGCTTAATTACTGAGACTATAAATTAATAGGGACTACCCATTTGTCTTTCATTTACACAGTACTTGGCTTAACACCATCCTTGTCTTAAGTTCTATTTCAGTAAGGATGCTAAACATATCGTTGCAAAATCATGAATATTGGGAAGTGGCTTACAGTATACATTTGAGTGGGGGAGACTGGACTGTAAAGTTTTAATTGTGCTGTGCACCATGAGGAGGCATGGATCTGGAACAGTACTGGCAGAGACGTGAAAAGGTCCTGTCCTGCAGTCACAGTATGCACCCAGACTTCTGAGGCTTTGCTGTTATAAATAGGTTCTCACTCTTTCTCTGCTACAGGTAAAAGGCATGCTGATATCAGCAGGAAATTTCCTACAGTGTGAAGACTGCCAGCATCCATTTAATCTTATGATTAAATAAACATTGCTGTCCTTTTTATTTTTCTTGCTATAAAAGAGAATATTGCTGTTTAATATGTTGCAGAAAGCCAAGCATTTCAGGAAAAAATATCTTTGGCCTCTGTGTAGTGCTAGAAGCTCATCATGTTTTGTGTCCAAACTCAACCTCTTCTGCAATTCTATTGAGTGGGTCTGCACAGAAATTTTTGACAGATGATTTAACCTCAACTCCCCTTTAATTTGTTTGAACTATAGAAGAATAATTTGTAGGACTGTTTCAAATGTGCCATTGCTTACCCTGTGGTGCGCTGCCATATGTAATTGTTTTATTCATGGTGTTTACATCAGTGATATATATTTCTGAAGGACTGTATTCTCACTAGCTCATCAGTTAGCT